ATGATCGAAAAAAAAAATTTGTGACCTATAAATTTTTTTATTTGTGAACGAAAAATAATTTGTGATCTAAATTTTTTTTAAATTGTTACTGTGAAAAAACAATAAATAATTTAGTCGATAATTTGTGACCAAACTATATGGAATTGCGATTTTAATATATTTAATTAATTATTTCATAAATAAAATTTAATAATATCTAATTTTAAAAATTGTTTTTTTTTTAATGTATTATACATAAACTCTTAACTATGAAATTTTCAAAATCCAAAAGTAGAACTTTAGTGGCTGGAAAGGAAGCATGTATTAGAAGTAAAAAAGCCCATCACATTTTATACCAAGTGCTGGAAACGTTGTCCCTCAAAGGCAAATGTAGATCACTGCTCACTACAAGGGGAAGACTTTGAACCTTTTTTTTTTAGAGTCAATGATCAGAAAGCGAGAATGTTGATGGATGAAGGCAGGGCCGGTCCTGTGATAATGGAGGCCCGAGGCGAGGTCCGTAAATTGGGCCCCCGGACGAAATCAACGTAAAAATTTGCGTAAAAATCTAATAACATTTTCAATTATGTACGCAAAAATTTGAGCATTACAAGTTTATGAAAACAATACAAAATTAAAATAACATCCAAAATCCAAAACTATCCCCAAAAAAAAAATAAAATAAAATAAAATAAAATTTGAAGCAAAATTGGGCCCCCTAAGGGTTTTGGGCCTAAGGCCTCAAATGCCTCAGCCCAGGACCGGCCCTGGATGAAGGGCTACTATTGTAGCTTAAATGTGGAAAAATGATGGGAAGGTTTGATTTTTTAGTTGTACATTACAAAAATACTATTAATTTTTTTTTTTTTTTTTTGGTATTTTGATTATTATCTATTTGAAGTGATTTGAAAAAAAAAAATTAAATTTTTATTGATATAAAAAAATATGATTTATTGCTTTGCATGAGTAATGAACAATTTTGACATACAACTGTTTAATATATTACATTATATATGCATGATATCTTTTAAAAAAAAATAATAATTCTTTAAAGAAATCCATGAAAAACTTTTATTAATTCTTATCAAATCCATAATAATCATTTAAAAGTTCACAAAATTCACAAAGGTCACCCATCCATAAAAATCTTTTTGTGCCTATCTGGAGGAAAATTTTGGTCTTATTTTAATTGCTTTTCAAGCCATCGCATGATAAGATAGTCGAAATGTTTGACTTTCTATCTCTCATTGGGATCCAAGTGCTACAAAGAAACAGTCACAAAATTCATTCTTGTTAAGTCAAAAATTGAAAACAAACGGGCACTAAAAGTTTCAATTGAATACGATCCCTAAAATTATTTATTAAAAATTGTTGCAAACAAGGCCAATTTTTAATTGTATTTATAGGTTGGGTTTTTGAGTAAATAACTTTATTTCTATCTATTAATTAATGACATGATTTATATTAGTATGTTCCAATAATTATTGTCTTCAATCTAAATCATCTATCGTATCAACGAAGTCATTTGTTCCACTAATCCTTTATCATTTTCCCGGAAAGGCTCACAAAGCGATTTTGTGTAAAGGGTCCCAAATTGATTAAGCAATTTCTAATTTTTAAGCTAAAAAATTCATATTTAGGCTCCGTTTAAGATTAAATTTAGAGTCCAACTAAAATAATCAGAAGTTGTTTTATGATTTTGATAAACTTAAGAAAGTTTATTATAAGAATTTGTACCTCTAGATTTTGAAAAACAATAAAATAGTAACTTCTCGAATTATGCTCTTAACTACTTAAATTGTCTTTAATTAAATACTAAGTTTATCCATTTAATTTCTTTTCCCAATGTTTATTAGAGCTTGTTTGGGCCCAATTTTTTCATCAAAAAAATTGATTTTTTGACCGTTATTTCACTATTCCAGCCGTCATATTTGACTTCTTTTTTCACAGGTGGACCTCACTTTTCTCCTAACAGTCAAAAAATCAATTCTCAAAATCACTCCCAAACAAGTTCTTAATAATCCAAAAAAAAGTATCTATTCATTATGCCTGGGCATGGCTTGGGTTGGGTAGGTATTGAGTCTAACCCAAAATCGAACCCGACTTAATCAATTTTGGATAAATTTCAACCCAAACCAACACAATCCAATCGTTCCCCATAGAACCAAATCAGTTGGTTTGGTTAATCGGTTTGGAATTTTTGCGAGTAAAAAAATTGTCTATAGATTAAAACATTTGTTTTTTCATACATATAAATTTTTTCTTGCATAATACATAAAATTATATATATATATATATATATATATATATATATATATATATATATATATATATATATATATATATATACACCAAAATGAAAGTAAGGCTACAATTTAAATTCGAAGTTTACAACAAACACTTCTTCTTCTTGCATTCTTTTCTTTTGACATTTAAAAATTTGGTAGAAAAAATATACACCGTAAACAAATTATTTAAGATAAAATTATATTTGTGTTTTTATTATTTATTTTTTTACATTTATAAATATGAATTTTAAAATTAAAAAAAATGTATTTTCGGGTTGAATTGATTAATTAATGGGTTGGTTGCTTAAATTGAAACCAACCCAACCCGACTTTTTTATGGTTAATATTAACCGAACCAAACCAAATTTTTGGTTCTTGCCAATCCAACTCGATTTGGTTTGATTGATTTTTAAAAAAATTTTGTCCACCCCTACTATCCATTGAATGCGAACGCAACAATAAATCACTTTTATTTACCAAGTACTAAAAATAGGGTAAGTCAGTGTGAAGCAAGGATACAAAATAGTGAGAGCCAAATTTATACACAATTTTTTTTTTCACATAAATTATAATAATATATTTTTTTTTATTATTATTATTTTTTCAGATTCACCTGCCTCCGCCAAGGCTGATGATAAAATATACAATTTTGAAATTGAAGTTCACCAAATACTTCACTGATTGTACTAATACTGTACATGAATATAAACAAAAAGTGGGTCAAAATTCATGTCAAGAACTTATTTCATTGCATTTTTTCATTCAAAAAAATTGTCCCCTACGACTATGTTCCCACGCGTATTTTCGAAAATAAACCTACTGAGTTTTTGGTGTGTAACTATACTACACATTTTTTTAACTGCCAATTGACCTGATATTTGAATAATTTGTACACGTATTCGTTAGTATTAATATTTTCTCCTTACATAAAGTATGTTATAAGAAACATCTTTTGTGATGTAGATACAGTAGATATACATAAATTCAAAAAGATATTGCAATATTACAATGAAATCTTTAAAAATTAGTAGACGTAAATGAGTAAATTATATACTTTTACTTGTCAATTTTGTGTTACCATTCAGTCTCGGTACTCCGTCGAATACATGACAAAATCCAGTCATATGGTAAGGAAATCCCACGTAAAGTTCTTCATTGATTTTCTTTAGTTCCTATTGATTCAAAAGAAAAACCTACTAAAACACAAAAGAAAATGGCTATCCTGTCTGCGTTTGCCTAAGGAGTATGTCCATACACAATTTAGAATTTCTGGGTTCTGAATTAATCTTGATGATCCAATTAAAATCACATAACAAATAAATTTATGTTCCGATCGAATTCTCTGTTTTCAAAACAAAACAGGATCTGGCCACCCTTTTCTAGACAGCTAAAGGTTCTTTAGCTCATGAATTTACTCCTCCAAGGAGTACAACATCAGTCAATTAACATTGTCGTGAAGTACAATGCAGTAACTTGAACATTCATATCAGCAAAAGCAAAGACATACCATATTCATGTCGATTATGGAACTGAAACCACTAACATGTAGATCTACATCAATTCAGTTAAACCATATCTATCGGCAACATTGTACATAACCAATTTATCCCACACTGGGCCGAAAAGTTGGTTCCCGCCAATCATAAAGGTAACAGACCATGAAGAGAGGATCAGGGCGAACACCAGGAAGCCAATTGCTGATCCAACAACATCTGTGCAAAAGAATTGGTATATCAACTTGAGATAGCAATTTATTTTAACTCCTACATCCAGAGAAAAATTTACAGATACGAAAATATGAAAATGATGATGGAAAATATCTTATCATTGTTGCTCATGACTTCTCTTTCCACCGAGATATTTGTATCAGTCAAGTAGTCTAAAAGACGAGGGTGGTTATCAATTGTCACAGACTCACAGATCAGATGACTGGCATAATATTCCAGATTAGAAGAAAAGGCAGCATCAAGACTTACTTTCCCTTTAAATTTCGAGGTTATAAAAAAATTGTTCAGGGTGCTCATAGTATATGAGACAAAATCATGAAATTCAAAAGACAAGTCTAATCATCCATTCTATTGTCATTTCTCAAAAGAAATGGTTTTTCTGTATACAAAATATGATCAAGTCCAGTACACCAACTCTGACAATTTTTACATTGAGACAAAACTATCCAAACTATTAAGCAATATCCTGGACTGTGCATAACTCGAGCAAATAAAAAAGGAGTATTAATGAATATGTCAGTAAAAAGTACACAGGAATAGATTAGAATGTCCATTCCTGTAGTTTACAAATTATGGCAAAAGCATGCCTTTACCCTGTGGTGGTCACACCAGAGAGAGGCTACAAAGAGCAGGTCAATTGTCCTAATTATTCTGTGACTGTTAAAAAAATCTTTTAGATTTTTCCCTCCGCATTCACGACGATCTTGTTTTATGTACGAGTATCTAAACCCACAAAAGTATCTATCCCTTCAATATGAATTGGCCTTGCTTACAATTATCTTCACATTCAATAGCAATGTTTGAGTGGTAGATAAAGTTGATTTTATGAGCAGAGTAAATACCAAATGATTAGAATTTTTTTAAAACCTATCATGTCTCAAGCTGAACTAAATCAAGAAAAAATCTCTCAACCGATCACACTCTTAAAAGCAATAGGTCTTCCTAGGTATTTTGTTTTCGGTTGTTGATTGCGTATCGTTGATGTAAGAAGCATGTTGGCTACACATAACAAATAAATTTATGTTCCGATCGAATTCTCTGTTTTCAAAACAAAACAGGATCTGGCCACCCTTTTCTAGACAGCTAAAGGTTCTTTAGCTCATGAATTTACTCCTCCAAGGAGTACAACATCAGTCAATTAACATTGTCGTGAAGTACAATGCAGTAACTTGAACATTCATATCAGCAAAAGAAAAGACATACCATATTCATGTCGATTATGGAACTGAAACCACTAACATGTAGATCTACATCAATTCAGTTAAACCATATCTATCGGCAACATTGTACATAACCAATTTATCCCACACTGGGCCGAAAAGTTGGTTCCCGCCAATCATAAAGGTAACAGACCATGAAGAGAGGATCAGGGCGAACACCAGGAAGCCAATTGCTGATCCAACAACATCTGTGCAAAAGAATTGGTAAATCAACTTGAGATAGCAATTTATTTTAACTCCTACATCCGAAGAAAAATTTACAGATAGGAAAATATGAAAATGATGATGGAAAATATCTTATCATTGTTGTTCATGACTTCTCTTTCCACCGAGATATTTGTATCAGTCAAGTAGTCTAAAAGACGAGGGTGGTTATCAATTGTCACAGACTCACAGATCAGATGACTGGCATAATATTCCAGATTAGAAGAAAAGGCAGCATCAAGACTTACTTTCCCTTTAAATTTCGAGGTTATAAAAAAATTGTTCAGGGTGCTCATAGTATATGAGACAAAATCATGAAATTCAAAAGACAAGTCTAATCATCCATTCTATTGTCATTTCTCAAAAGAAATGGTTTTCTGTATACAAAATATGATCAAGTCCAGTACACCAACTCTAACAATTTTTACATTGAGACAAAACTATCCAAACTATTAAGCAATATCCTGGACTGTGCATAACTCAAGCAAATAAAAAAGGAGTATTAATGAATATGTCAGTAAAAAGTACACAGGAATAGATTAGAATGTCCATTCCTGTAGTTTACAAATTATGGCAAAAGCATGCCTTTACCCTGTGGTGGTCACACCAGAGAGAGGCTACAAAGAGCAGGTTAATTGTCCTAATTATTCTGTCACTGTTAAAAAAATCTTTTTGATTTTTGCCTCCGCATTCACGACGATCTTGTTTTATGTACGAGTATATAAACCCACAAAAGTATCTATCCCTTCAATATGAATTGGCCTTGCTTACAATTATCTTCACATTCAATAGCAATGTTTGAGTGGTTGATAAAGTTGATTTTATGAGCAGAGTAAATACCAAATGATTAGAATTTTTTTAAAACCTATCATGTCTCAAGCTGAACTAAATCAAGAAAAAATCTCTCAACCGATCACACTCTTAAAAGCAATAGGTCTTCCTAGGTATTTTGTTTTCGGTTGTTGATTGCGTATCGTTGATGTAAGAAGCATGTTGGCTAAGCCTAAAAAGTTCACTTGCGATTTACAAGTTCATAAATACCCAAGTTTTGAAATAAATAATTCTTAATTGGTTGAAGTTTTCAAATACAAAATAACTTATCCCTTAAAAATGAACAAAATAAATAAATAAATAAATATAAATATATATATATATATATATATATATATAAGCATTTTAGAAACAAAATGACACTAAAAAGTAACTTTACTTTTTCTTAAGCTTAGCAAAACCAGTTCAGAGATGTGTATGCTTCATATTCTAGACAGAAGAAAGTGAGAGCATAATGGTAACAAAGAAACCCCTTGTGGATAAGGAAAAAGGTGAGAGTTAATTTGCATTGAAGGGATGCTCAGACCACACATACTATGGCAACTAGCAAAACATTTAGGTGTAACAAAGTAAACAACCTAAACAGAGTTTCCACAAGAGAATGGTCAGAGTCATAGAGCCCTTTGAAGCATTTGACAGGAAACTGATTAGTATTTTATTTTTTTTATCTATATAATGAATGGAAAACTGAAAGGAATTACAATGGATTGTGAGCATTCAAGAGGTTCACTCTCTCCCAATTGAGACCTTAATTTTTGCCTCCCCTACAGAATGCCCTTTCCTCC